AACATCTTCCAGAGCCAGAAAAGGAGGTGTTGAAAGAATTCCCTGAGTTTTCTTTTGGCACATGTTTGTCATTCTGACCAGCTTACTCTAAATTGCAAAGATTTGTTTTATAACTTGAAAACAGAATGTTTTAAGCTAAATTAGCATCCATTGAGTAGAAGGAAAACTTATGTAGCATGTAAATATGGTTCATAAAAATGATTAAATATGTGATTTAAAATCACTTGGTCAGGGCTGGGGATTTAGCTCAGTGCTTCCAGCGCCTCCCTTATAAGCACAAGGAACTGAGTTTTATCCCTGGTGCCAAAATAAATAAATAAACAAATAAATTAAATAAAAAATTTAAGAATAAAAATCACTTGGTGGTTTTATACAAGTTTCAGTTAGAAAAGGAAGAGGCTAGAACAGATGTGTAAGTATCACAGAACAAAAAGCTTGATGAAAAATCATGATCTATAAGGATTTTGTACTGCAAGCTCATTACATATTTAAACTAAACCCTCTCATCTTTATTGCTCGTTGAAACAGACTTTCTTGGAGTATCACAGCAGGACAATTTCTTTACAATTTCCAATATCAATTCTCTAGCTGAGGTTACCAACCCTATGTTTTAGAACTCTTACAAAACTAATTTGAGGAGTCATTTTCTGTGTCAAACTGTATACAAGGAAAAAACCCACCCTTCTTTCTGTGTGGTCTTTAGAAAATAAACTCTTTCTATCCCTGTGCTTAAAACTAGAATAGTTATAAACTGTAGAAATTGCATTTGCTTTTAAAGTAACTGAGATATTAACTTGTAGGGAATATATATAATCTCAACATTTATGTGTGTTTGTATTTCAATATGGTAAAATGGCATGAATTAAAGCAATGCAAATGCACAAAATTCACATATTTTGTCTCTGTATTTACTTTTCATTAACAATTTCCCACTTTCTAAAATAAACAGAATTCAAGGAATGGGCCTGAGAAATTTAATTTTTTTTTCTTTTTCTGTATCTGGGATCAAACTTGGGACCTTGCACTTATGAGGCAGGCAGTGGAACCAGAGCTAAATACCCAGCCCTCTGAGAAATTTAATTTTTCATGAAGCTTTTCCATATGATCCTCTCTTCATAAAGTCTCTACAAATTCTGATTTGCTGGAGTAAATTTGTTTTACTAAAGTCAGGATGGAAAGCTTCAAGATTCTGGCTGCAAAAATACCTTGGAATCAGAGTCCATGGATGGTTGAATTCATTTGAATTAGCTACTGATAGGTTCTTAGACAAAAGCAGGCTGAAGATCATAACTGGAAAATGGAACATGGGCTGCAGCTTGGCAGAAGACTGAGAATTTTAGGAAGGATATTGTTGGGATACTACATGGTCATAGTGGATTGAGAGAAAGAAACCAGGTAAAGCATGTCTAACAGGATATATACTTCTGTCCTATCTTCTTTTGCCATATATCCTCCTACATATTTCAATTATCATTGATTAAAATAACATTGTTATGCAGCCACTACTGAATTTATATTTCAAGTCCAGACATCCCTTCTAAGCAGCAATCTCACAAACTTAGAACTACATGGCCTCTTTACTAGGATGTCTCACAGCTTAGGCTTCAAAACAGAATCTTGCATTTACCACCTATTCATCTTTCTACCCCATTCTTCTTTGTCTGAGTACATGGCAAAGCCACTGTTCTACCAGTTCAAGTCAAAACATCATACCTTTGCTTCATTCATGTAATTCCTGATGATTTTATTTCTAAAAGATTTCTTGAATCTGCTGACTTTTTTGCAAATTGGCTGTCATCACAAAATACAAGGTGGCCAGGGATTCAGCTCAGTGGTTCTCCCACCTGCCTCCCAAATGCAAGGTCCTGAGTTCAATCCCTGATACCAAAAACAAAGTACAAGGTAACGTTATTACCTAGAGTACAGTGCTGTCTTCCTTGCCTAGTTTTTACTGTCATTCCAGTCCCTCGATAAAACATTGTTTGCCATCTGTGAGTAAATTTAAAATGTAAATTGTGTCATCTTATTCTTTTTCTTGACTTTCCCAGTGTTTTTCATTGAACTCAGAATAAAACCTGAAGTCCTCTCAGGGACTTAAAAGTCCTTCGTTGCCTAATCCTAGCTCATGTTTCATTGTCCTGCCCCAGCACACTCCCACTATAGCCCTCCAAGTCCTTTGTTAACTGAGCATTCTGGGTGCTGTCCTATTTTGCTGCATGTTTGAGGCTGTGCCCAGTGTTAAGAACACACCCATTCTGTATTTCTGCATGACTAATGCAGTCTCTTCCTTTAGGGCTCAACTTAATGAGGCCTTTCCTTATCTCATCTCAGGTAGGTTTACTGATGTTACAACAGATTCTTGTTTCCTTTGAGATTATTATTGCAATTCACAAATGTTAACATGTTTTTCTTTTCAATTTCTGTTACCCTTTCTACAATTTACACTCCATATCTCTATTTGGTATATTATCCTAACCATTTGCTAAATAAGTGAATTGATTGATTGGTCTAACTTGTAGTTGGAGAAAACACCTGAGAGCAGCCTGGTCAGGAGGTCTCTCCGATCTAGGAGCGGTTTCCAAAAGGCCACGGGTTAATAGCAGGATCAGGAGTTCCTTCATAGTTTCTAGCCATCTAAGGATCTGTTACACTCATTAGCAATCTCAGTCTTTCCATCGGCTAGTTGTTGAAGAAGTAGTGAAAATACTGAACATTTCAAAAACTAGAGAAATCACACACAGTCTTTGTCGCAGACTGAGGAAAAGTCTGCTCCCAAGAGACTGCTGAGGCATTGGTTTTGCTGGGTTCTCATTGGAAGGAAGACTTGAAGGGTGGTTTCGTGGTGGAATAAACCACCAGCAGATGGCACCAAAGAGTTACTTCTTGCATGTCTCCCTTTTAATTTTACCCCAATTAAAATTAAACTATAGGGGACCAGGGATTTAGCTCAGTGGTTCTGTCACCTGCCTCACAAGTGCAAGGTCCTGAGTTGGATCCCCTGCATTAGGGACCTGATGCCACCACCATCACAGGCTGTATTCTTCTGGTGCTTCTTGGCTCTTAAAATGACCTAATGCTCTTATCTTTAGTGTTCTCCCCCACAAGGCCACAGCGGTCCTGAGAAGGCAAACCTAAATTTCTGCAGGACTGAACCCATAAAAGGCCTGTGATAGGTTATAAGTAACCCACTCCTCATAAATAAGCAATAGCCCAGCCCAAAACCAATAAAAGGACCTTCCTTTCTTTGTTCTTTCTTCCTCTCTCTCTCTCTCTCTCTTCCCTCCCTCCTCTCTCCCTGACCTGTCTTCCCTAATAAAGTCTCCTGTCGGACCTCTTGGTGTGTGGCCTAGTTGTTGAGCATTGCTGTGCCTCCACATTTGTGTCAGAAGTGGGATCTGGGTTGCTGGTAACCTGACTTAAGGTCAGAGGTCTGAAACCCAAGACTCCTGATGCTCCAATTGGCCTGCTCAATGACCATGACCATGTTTCCTGACATCATCCCTGCAAACAACACTGGCACTGTTGATCCTATTGCCCCTAGACTTTTGGGTAAGTCCCCTCTTGATGGTCTAGAGTGTGTGTGTGTGGGACTCGGACTCAGGTGACCAGAAAAGAGACTGCCATCTAGAATGTGAGCCGGGTACCAGGCCTCACATCTTCCATTGACTGTGAGTCTCCGGGAGGCTCACCAGGATAAGTCTGGGACTTGCCCATTCTGCCCCCACCTCTCTTGGGATACCTCAAAAAGGTGGTATGGCCCTCCATTTCCAGACCCCCTCCTTATTGTAGAGATGTCTCCATCTGGAGTCTGGGTCTCCATTTCTAGAGTCAGAATCTAGAAGCCAAACTGGTGACTTCCAAATCTTAAGAGACATCTTGGGACTCAGACTTTACCCCCATTGTCTCATTCCTGGTCACTATGGGCTCCAGATCTTCCACACCTGTAGACTCTCCCTTGGGGCACTTGCTCCAAAATCTGGAGGGCTTAAACCTAAAACCTGAACAGCTAATACACCTATCCACTCAAATTTGGCCTTGATATAAGTTAGGTAACCAAAATGTGTGGCTGCCTAGTGGCTCACTTGAACTTGATCTGATTCAGGACCTTTATAACTTCTATGAGCATCAAGGAAAATTGTTGGAGATTCCATATGTTCAGGGCTTCTCTTATCTCTGCAGCCAGCCCCCTTTTTGCTCTCTTACTCAGAAACAGCCTCCCCTCCCCAAACTTTTAGTGATTCGAGATATCTCTGCTTCCACTTTGTCTTTGGACCAAATAGATCCAGCTGATGATCCTCCCCCTTATCCCAGAATCCAGGATGAAACAAACACCACCACTCAACCTCCTCCTCTGGCCTCCTGCTTTCCTCCCACTGCCCCCTTGTCTCTACCTCACCTCCCTCTGCTTTGCCTTCCATGCCAACTCCTCCTCTCACCCACTCTAAATCTCATTTTATGACAGAACTAGCCCTCATCCTTCATGGTTAATCCTGAAACTTTCATCAAACAATTTCAGAACAACCCAACCTAGGAGCTTCTCAAGCTTCTGCTCTGTGGCAATCATCTGCTAGTGAAAACTATTTAGTTTTGGTCCTAGAACAACTGCTTGCCAAATCTGCTGTTTTTTCACTTGGTGAACTTGCCTCAGAAAATGTGCTTCCCCTTTGGAGGAGGTCCAATTGCCTCCCTCTCCACTTGAGTTGCTAAGTTTAATTGGTGTGCTTAAAACACTTCTTGTGCATTACAAATTCTTAAATTGTGGTTATAGGGTTAACTTGCTCTTTTCTAAAAACTCAAGGTTAATACTGTTCTATTGGCAACCAGTCAAATTTTAAGAGATAATCTGAGAACAGAAAAAGGACACTTTAAGATTTTAGCAGCTGAAATTTGTTATAGAAGGTTAATAGTAAATGAGACAGAGAAAAATATTGGGACAGCTATTAGTAAGAGTTATACTTTTGACATGAAAGGTTTTTGTAAGTTTGTCTTGTTATAAACAGGTATACAAGACCAGAAGGCCTAAGAATGTTTGCTTGTTGGTTTCAAGATTGCTATAAAGCGTTTACCAATAATTTATTAACTTCTACAACCCAGTTTTATAAGTTAAAATCTTTTCAAGGTAATGTAATAGAAACTCTTAGGTCTGATAGACTCCTGTTAATGGTAAAAAGGACAGCTGCTCAGAGAAAAATCAATTAACTTACCATAATCTCTTTGTCATCCTTACCAGTGCCTTAACACCTGAGGAGGGCAAAACAGTGCTGGAACAGGCCCACAACCATGCTGATCAAGAACATTTGACAAATAACCACCACCCAGTAGGTGCTGCTGTCATGCCTGAGCACAACCCAGATTGGGATTACAACTCTGAGATGGATAGCAAGGCCCAGGACAGGTAAATTAATTGTTTGCTCCATGGGCTATGCAAAGCCACCATGAAATCTATAAATTATGATAAGCTTAATGAAATCATACAGGACAAAGGTGAAAACCCTTCTGCCTTCCTACAAAGGCTGACTGATGGCCTTCATCAATATACCAGTCTGGACCCTAAGTATGTTGATGGCAAGCAGCTGGTCATGATACATTTTTCTCTCTAAAAGCTACCCTGAAATTAGACTTAAATTTAAAAAGCTTGAGAAGGGACTCCTAACTCCTCCTTCCAAGGTTCTGACCATGGCATTTAAGGCCTAACATGGCCGTGATGATCTCAAAACCACAAAAAAGTACCAATTACTAGCACAGGTCATCAATCCTACCATGCCACAAGGGCTTCATAACAGGGGACCCTTTAATAGTGGACCCTCTCACCCACTGGGACCCTGCTTCCATTGTGATTAGGAGGGTCAATGAATGCCCACAATGAATGCCCAAGCCTCCCACAAAACTCTGCCCTAAATGCAAACAGAGGGGACATTGGGGTTTTGACTGCACCCTGATGTCCACCCATTGTCAGGCTGCCAGCCCTGCTGTTCCCCAAATGACCTCATCAGTCTCACAATGGAAGAAGATCTATGAAGAGGCCCTGGACTATCTGGCCCAACAAGGATTACCACTCAGGAGCCCAGGGTGACTGTCACCATGGCAAGTAGGATGATCACCTTTTTAATCAACACTGCGGCCAGTTTTTCTGCACTGCAAGAATATTGGGGTACCACCTCCCTGTCTCAGACGTCTTTTGTTGGTGTAGGTCAAAAACAACACCCTTGACAGACGCCTCTCCTGTCATGCACAATTGGTGATTTTTCATTTCTTCATTCCTTCCTAGTCCTCCCTTCCTGTCCCGTTCCCTTCCTATCCAAAATTGGCACTTCATCCATTTCATGACACAGAACCCCTCCAGCACCCCGATGTCTTACCTTTGCCTTTTCTTTTTCCAGGCCATAGAACCCCAGACTCCATCATCCAAATAGCCTATTGACCCTGCCTTAGTAAATCCCTGGGTGTGGGAAATTCAATTCCCCTTAGTGGCCAAATGCCCTTCAGTTAGGGTTTTCCATAAAAATCCTATATACTCAGGCTCAATACCTGTTCCCTCATTCTAGCTTAGATGGATTGGCTCCAATCATCAAATGTTTATTAAAAAAGGGACTTTTAAGGCCTGCCAATTCCCCATACAATACACCCATCTTAGCGGTCAGAAAGCCTAATGGGACATATCAGGTAGTTCAGGATCTCTGGATCATTAATGCGGCTGTGGTTCCAATACATCCTGTTGTTCCCAATCCATACACACTCCTGTCTTCTATCCCATCCAGTACCACCCATTTTTCAGTCCTAGATTTAAAAGATGCCTTCTTCTCCATTCCTTTACATGCAGATTCCCAAGACCTTTTGCCTTTACTTGGACTAGCCCTTCAACTGTGGTCTCCACACAATTAACCTGGACTGTCCTGCCCCAAGGGTTTTGAGATAGCCCCTATCTGTTTGGCCAAATCCTAGCTTATGACCTGTCTCTTCTCCAGCTTCAAGGTTCATGATGTATCCAATATGTAGAAGATCTTCTCTGTGCTCCTTCATTAACTATACTTCAACAAGGTACTTATATGCTTTTGAATTTCATTTCTGAAAAGGGATACTGAGTCTCACCAACAAAAGTTCAACTTTTTAAACAACAGGTCATATACTTAGGTGTGTCTCTATCGCCTGGCTTCAAATCTATTACTGTTGATAGAAAACGGGTCCTCTGAGACATTCCAATGCCTTCCACTAAACAAAAACCTCTCTCCATTGCCCAACAGCCTAGTAACCCCATTATTTAATTGGGTCCGATTCCAAATATGGCAAGACACAGATACACTACTGCCGTCTCTGCTTCCTGCACTACTGATTACCTATCACCTGGGAGACCTGGTTCTCCTAGCTCCATCACATCAACAGAAAGACCCACTCAAACCTAAATTTCAGGGACAATTCACAGTTGTCCTTTCAGCTCCGACAGTGGTTAAATTTAAGTCCCTTCCAGGATGGTTCCATTACTCTCTTGTTAAACCATATCTTCATGCTTCTCTCCCAGTTATATCCACAGGACCTCATCTATGCTATTCAGCCACCTTCATGGGACCACTGAAGGTCAAACTTACTCAGATTCCAGAAGACCTGGTTGCTCAGGATCCTTCACTATCATCCAGTTCTGAGTCAGATAAGCCAACCTAACTGTTTACCCTCTCATCCTCTCATGGGGTATTGTGACACATTTCACACTACAGCACCCACTGATATCCTAAGTCTTCTCATATTAGTACTGCTGGGACTTGTCCTTGGGATAGGATTGGCCACAGCAGCTCCTCCCAACTATAATTTCACTTCCAGGCTTTTGCTCACATTGGCCTATTACCTCATAATCTCACTCTTTGCCATTCTTAATTGCTGGAGACAATAATGGTTCCTTTCCTGCTCCTGTTTTCTCTCCTAAACCTTACCCAAGTTGATAGACCCTCAATGTATGCCTTGACTCACTCCCAGCCTAACTCAGACCTCCTTCAGACCCAGGTCAGCTGCCTCTCCACTCAAGTCTACTGAAAGATGGCTCATCAGCTGCTACCTCAGGCTGGAGACCTAAACGAGACCACCATATTTACATGACAGCCAACCGACTAACCATAGCTCAGATCTCAGCTCAGTTTGAACATTTTCTAAATGATCTTTGGATTGATATTCTTTGGTTTGCTCCCCACCCTTACCCTGTTACCTGCACAGCAAACTGGATCACTAATGCATGGCTCCAAGGAACTTTATTGGACTTCACTCCAACTGAAATCATAATCTTTACCTTTTTTACTCATTCTATTAACCCTCCTGTGGTGGTCCAGCCATCACAACAATAACATGACTGAGTTGGGGAGTGAGGATTGAGAAAGGAAAGAACACTCAAACCTGAGTGGAGACCAAGAGAAGTCTGATTTATTTCACTGAAACAGCTCCTTTTATAGGTTCACATCAACAGGAAGCACCAAGCAACTATTTGTATCTTTTATGCAAAGACCGGATTTTCTGACTCTTTGCAAAGAACATCAGATCTATGGCTGTCTCTTTGAGTTTCTTCCACTGCAGCAACAAGTTTAACAAGCAGAGTCCTAGAATGTTACAGATTGTATCAATGCCTTGAGTGTAGAGGTGAAGAAGTTTCCTTTTAAATGTCAAACTCCTAGAGGGCCATGGCCGGGCTCCCACACCCTCCAACCCAGTCCACAGCCTCATACATTCCAGGATATTCCTCTGGACTAGAAGATGTCCTCAGGATGCCCATTCTGTCCCAAAAATCCATGGTCCAAAACTTTTCAGGCTCCTTGCCCAAAATTTCCTCCCATGTCATCAGGCTTTAATAGCTCGCCTTACATATCCTCCTCAACACTGTATCTATTGCACACAAGAGGTCACCTCTGTCCTATGGGGCCCAGAATGAAGGGAACAAAATAAGACCCTATTCCCGTCATACCTTCCTGTTCATCAGGAAGATTTCAGATATACCTCCAACCCCTCTAAGCACTGTCAGATGTCCACACAAGTTCCATTAAAGTCTGAGCCTGGCACCTCTTGGTTTCCCTCAGACTCAGGCATTCCTCTCCTGGCCCTCCTGTTCTGCCATGGGCCTGCCTTTCCAAAAGGGTGTACTCTAGAAGATCCCCTTCAGGCAGAGTATGACATTTATTGTGTTCCTATCCTCTTTGTACTGGCCTTTCTAGACAATGTAGAAGGCTGACCACTTCCTTGGGTCATCACCAAGATCTTCCAAGACAGGCTACACAGGGCTCGTGAAGGTCAGATAGGGATCGGGGTATGACAATTTTGGGAGGCCTGATGTGTGCCTCATACAAATTATCTTCTACCCCTCTTTCCTCCCTCACTGATTTGTGTGCTTGGACTCTTTTCAGTGATCCCTACCAACAATTCCTGTGGGAATGCTACTGCTGTCAACAATTCCATGTTCATAAAGGACAACATGGTCAGCTGTGTCCCATGCCTGCCCCCAGACATCTTCATTACCCCGGTGTCAGCAGGAAGTAGTTACAGAAGACAGATACACCACCCCTTTTCCCTGGCATATAACATGTACCAGCTGCTGTCTCCATCTAAACCAAAGAGGGGGAAATATTAGGGACCTAATGTCACCATCACAGGCTGCATTTTACTGGTGCTTCTTGTCTCTTAAAATGACCCCATGCTCTTATCTTTAGTTTTCCTCCCCCCAAGGCCACAGTGGTCTGGAAGGGTTAAACCTAAGTTTCTGCAGGACCAAACCCATAAAGGTCAACCAGGCCTATAATAGGTTAAAAGTAGCCCACTCCTCATAAATAAGCAATTTGCCCAGCCCAAAACTAATAAAAGGACCTTTCTTTCTTTCTTTCTTTCTTTCTTTCTTTCTTTCTTTCTTTCTTTCTTTCTTTCTTTTCTTTCTTCC